TTTAGTCGAAGACTTTTTATTGTAAGAGTTATCTCCCCAAACACTGTCTTTCTTTTTGGTGAGATCTCCTCCGTAACCGTAAAAGAAAGCGACAAATTTATTTTACTAAATTGCTCGTTATATCCTCAGGATGATTTGTCGAATTTTAACCGAATCAATTCGTAGACTCCATATGGGTCCGTGTATATTTGCGTCCATTCGTTTTTCATTTTGAAATATCAAAAACAAAAAACAAAAAACGAGAGTGTTTTCATTTTTCGTTAATGATTTCTCAAAAACCAAAACGAAAAACAAAAGTGTTTTCATTTTTCGTTTTTTGATTTCTCTAAAACCAAAACGGAAAACGAAAGTGTTTTCATTTTTTGTTTTTGATTTCTCTAAAACCAAAATCAAAATCAAAAGTGTTTCCGTTTTTCGTTTTTGATTTCACTAATACAACAAGAATTTTGTATTTAATTTTAATTATTTCTCGTTTTATAATGTACAATGTTTTCTTTTCTTGTTTCACAGTCAAATTACAACTGGAACAACTTCCGAACGGTAACGGTAACCTTTGTTTGCATCAAAACTTGAAGACCACATTTTGGCCGTTGGAGTTCTCGATCATGTTACACATATATGCATACTCATAAAATCATTAAACAAGGCCGGCTATCCTTTATATCGAGGAAGTTTAGTGCTTCTTATCAACACATTTGCTTATTGTATATCTGTTAGCTGAATAGTGTCCCTTTTAATTTAACAATGGCATACTAATATTTTTTATGCTGTGTTACATGGTAATACTAATCCCTTCGTAAACTAACATAAATATTTATTTTCAATGTACAGGGGCATCATAACCCCCTTTGTATGCAGTGTGTTGCTTATTTTTACTACGGTATAAAAATCCCATTTGCTAGAAGGATTTTGCTTTTTAACTAGGCTTTACAACCCCTAATTTGAAGAGTATTGTTAACCGGGGCATACTAATCTCATCTGCGGTTTTAAGAAATAGTATGGGCACATAATAGTGTGAGTGTGATACTTATTTTTATATGTAGTGTTAAAACATATTTATGCATGACTATCGCGAACAGATGAATATTATTCCCCATAGTTCATGTATATAACTGTAATTTGGTCACACGAGCCTCAATTTTGTCATTTCCTCACTTGACCTGCATAACCTCAAATTCTGTTTTTGGTTATTCTAGATTAAACCATAGAGAATTGTCACGTTGTTGTGATTCGTGAAGTGTAATTCCATACCATATTGTATCTTTAGACTAGTAATTAATCAGTTCTCATCTTAATTCAGAGTTAGTTTGAATTTGAGATACGTATTCTTTACTTAGTTAATATATATCTGATATGAGATACTTAAAACCGTGGAACTTACTTTGATTGTTAAAATTAGTTTATCTCGGTCCTATCACAAAATCGGATTACGCCATGTAGACGTCTACATGAAAATTGTAAACTCGTGATATAATCTAAATACTTTCATTATTTAATCCTTAGTGCAAGTAAATACAAATCGGTCACCTGATTTACAATTTTACATATCAAACAATATACATAGACAACAATATTCGAATGTATATATTGTAATTTTTCTGGGTACATTGTTTTGTACACTATTCCCTCCAATTTTGGGTCCAGCTGTTTCGTTGACCTAAATGACAGTTTTACGGGGTACTCAGTTGTCAGTAACATTCAGACACTTTCTTGTACTTGTTTTATACAGAACGTACAATTGGCACCTACGGTCATTCTGACTGCAGTTTACAAATAACGACACTAATGTTATTTTGTTTTAAAAATCCGGTTAATGTGATCATTGTTGTTGATATGTCTCCGGTTTATGCAATATTCCAATGCTAGCATTTTCTAGCCTGATTTATTTTATTGAGGGTTGTTCTTTACATGGAAGCTGTTAAACCTAGAGTTCCAAGTGGTGAATGTGAAGTCATTCCTTCGAACATTTTACGGACGCCATCACGAGTTGGTTGACCGTTATGATTTATATGTTTCATAGATGACGACTGATACGTTCCAATTGTTGTAACCACAATTCCATCCTCTTTTCCTCAAATGTGACCTACCAAATTAGACTGATCACCAAATTTGTACTTAAATGAGGGACACGACGGATGCCACATGTGGAGCAGGATCTGCATACCCTTCCGGATCACCAGAGATCATCGCAATCATTGGTAGGGTTTGTGTTGTTCAGATTATAGTTTTCTATGTTGTTTTTTTTGTTTATTACCATGGCATTGTTAGTCCCTTTTCGAGTTATGAGCTTGGATATCCCTTTGATATGTTTTGCCTTACTTTTATTCATATGGCATATGATCGATATGTTCTTAAATTTTTACATTTATTGTTGTATCAGGTAAATGACCGAATATATGTCTACTGTTCAAGTACATGGTTTCAGAGAACGTACTAAGTGTTTACTTATATTTTAATTATAGTGAAAGTCTTGCCCTTTGGTCTGACTATAAAGCTCAAACAAAGGATTTGCTACTGGTTTTGTAGTTCGGCTCTCTCTGCGTTCTACTATATCTGGTGCTACTCATCTGAGCCACAATTCGGATGCTTCGTATTCACATATTCGGGAACCAGGAGAAGGGAGAGTGTTTATGTTATAACCTTAAACTGAACAGGCACTGTGCACTAACCAGTCGTTCTGATTGTTAAAGTTGTGCTGGCTTTGAAATCTCGCGGCTAGTCACATCTGATATACTTGCGAGAAGGTACGCTTAGAGGCCATTTTGACTTGAAAATTAAATGTACTTCATACTGTGTCATATTTCAAATTCAAAAGTTGAAATATTGTTCTTGAATAAAACATTACAGTTTTTGATGTAAAGTTTCCCCCCGTTTAGGGATAAATGGCTGTACATTCAGTAAATGCCGACATTGTGTACAGTCTTGACCTCTTGACTTTCAAATGCTTAAAAATAATAGTGCACAATCGTCAACTAACAATATAATCGCACAAAAGTGTATTTTGTATTTATCTATTCATTGGTTTAAACCTTTGTGGACGAAGTTTGTGTTAAATTTAACTATAATGTTCCTAAAATTTGCCAATGTTTGCAACACTATGGGAAATCTTCCTTATGACGTCACAATATAAAAAAAGGCTGATGTAATATAAATTTTCTGAAAGTATTTCATACACAATTCAAAGCATGTGATTCATAAAGATATTGTGCAATTCCTTGTTTTTGATAAATTCATAGGAAAAAATAACCCTCAAAATGTTCCATCTCCCTTCAATAACTATAAATGTGTCAATCTATCCGAATGTGCGATGGATTGGTTAAATTTTGGGAAGTAGCAGTCGCAAAATAAACTGAGTTATCTCTCTTAAAGCACGTGTCATAGTGAAAGCCTTATCGGAACCGGGTCGCGTGAGCCAGTGAGCCAACAACGTGTACCAAGAGTTCCAAGTGGTGAAATTAAAATCATCCCTTCGAAAATTTAACGGACGCCATCATGAGTTGGTTGACCGTAACGGAATATCTGTTTCACAGATGACAACGGATATGTTCCAATCGTCGTAACCACAATCCCATCCTTCTTTTCCCAAAATGTGACCTACCTGATTAGACTTATCACCGGGTTTGAACTTAAAAAACGGCTTCGATTACGTTCAGGTGAATTTCAATGGTCGGCGTCAATCTTTTTTAAAAATTTTGAAATTTTATTTTAACAAAAACAGCATGAGGCTTATTTAGAAAAAAAAGGTATAAAAGAAATTCAGCCTGGGCGAATATCAGACACCATCAACGATTAAAACCAGTTTATAAGTACATTTGAACACATACATGAGAATTATATGAAAATAGATTTCAGTGTGTATAGATTTAGAATAAAAAGTAGCTAATCGGTCTATCTTCTGTTTTTCGAAAGCCGGTGCCTTAGTTAAGAATTGGAAAAATAGTACCAATCTTTCCAAACATAAAAAAAAAAAACATACTGGTAGTACAAAAGAGTATACCTGACAAAATTTCTGACTTATCACAAGCATATCAACATTTGGTAGGGCTAATAAAACTAACTACGCCAAGTTTACTGCACCAAATACGCAATTTGACGATTAATGTCTCTTCAGTGATGATCGCGGCGAAAATATTAGAAAAACCAAAACCAATACAAACTTTGTATACTGTTGTTTGTCATTTGGTCGTTTTTCGATTTTCTGCCATGGCATTGCTAGTTATCCCTCAGTTTTTGCTTGTTCCATTGAATTGATTTGCCACTTCGATCTTTATTAATTTATGAGATTTTAATATAGGTAAACTACTGTCGCCATAGTTTACCTTGCTCAAATTAAAGGCAGAAATGGTTTTTATAATAAACTAATTTGGGGACCTATAATTGTTAACTTCTACGTTATTTGGTGTCTTGTGTCATGTCGGAGCCTTTTAGCTCACTATTCGGTATATGATTTACTCATTGTTGAAGACCGTAGGGTAACCTATACTTGCTAAAATCCACCTAATTTGGACTCTGGTTGATAATTGTTTTATTGGCAATCATTAAACATCTCCTTATTGTATCCTTGTTGGCTTTGATTTTTCTAGGCTCGCAAAATATGTTATATGTTTTACACTTCATTTGTATATCTGACCTAATTTGTGCACCCCTTAATTCTTTAATGAATAAATTTAGGAAATTACGTTAACATTATTAATTTCAAGTTTAATGTTATCAGCGACTTTTATAAAAGAAAAATCCTTCTTAAAATGTTGGTGTTATAAAGACAAGTTTATGTTTATTTCTTTTTAGATTTAGAAAACCTTAAAGTTTAAAATTTTTGAAGCAAGACAATTGCTATTTGTTGTATATTGACAAAGCACATCTAATTTCTCTAACATGCCAACTACATACTATTATTTCAGTTTATTGAAAAGGTTGTGTTTAGTGATATTTCGTACGTGCTTGAAATCTTAGAACAGAACAAAACTAATGCAAATTAAAATGGAAAAAAAGACACCATACGCAGATTATTTTTATTTTTTAAGTTACAATATAAAATATAGATGTATAATCACAAGGGGAATATATTCAACAATCTAAACAATAAAACAAGGATACAGACGACATAATCCCATGAATGTCATAAATTCTGTCGTTAGATCAGTTAACCTTTACATGGAAATTAAAAACTGAAGAGTAATTGATTTTTTTATAAATCACATATAAAGTTATTTCATGGTTCTGGACAAGGCACTTCGTTACAATTGGAGCATGTGACCGTGGCATTGAAAAAGCAAAGAGGACTTGCACATTGGTTTGAGACCATACCATTAGTCAAACAACGTACGTAATGATAACAGCTCTTTGGATGATATTTATATTCTTCGCCGGTTGAGCAGTAGTTTTCTGAAATGTGAAAGACATCGATATTTAAGGTAACATTTTATCACTTGATAAAGACAAAATATTAAATTGTATCATTTACATGATTGGTTGGCAATTAAACAACATCTCCTCGTTGTTATAAGGTTAAAATAACTATGACAAGGTTCAAACAGGCAATTTTGAATGTCATCTTTAGGCCATTATTAATTTTGTATGTTATAAAACGATTTCTGTATTTGAACTCATAACGTTTGCCTTGAAAAGAATGCACAAATATATTTAAACGTTTAAAATATCATCATAGATACATAGCTTATAACTGTGTACGCCAGACGCGAGTTTCGTTCAACAAAAGATTCAATTGTGACTCCCGAATCAAATCAATTTGGAAGACCAAACACATCAATATGAAATACGACGTCGAAGAGCATTAAAACCAAAATTCCAAAAAATTACAGCCTAAGTTTGTCGAAGAAGAATTATTTTATTAACAGTCAATTTGAAGAAAAAACATTTCAATAATATTGCATGTCAACAACAACTTGCTAACTACTGGGCTGGTGATACTTCCGGGGACGAAACGAAAAATGTCAATTAGCATTGACATCATATCAGTGATTGTAAGGCACACACTAAATCATCGACAAAAACACACGATTTACGGAAAGTTGTTTGTTTATTTCACTTGAGCTCATTGTTATGATATAGCTGTTGTGTAGAGTACCTTACCACATGATAGTTATCACCTAATATTATCAATATAAAAAAGAAAATGTGGTATGATTGCCAATGAGACAACTCTTCACATGAGACCAAATGACACAGAAATTAACAACTATAGGTCACTGTACGGCCTTCAATAATGAGCAAAGCCCATACCGCATAGTCAGCTATAAAAGGCCCCGAAATGACAAATGTAAAACAATTCAAACGAGAAAACTAACGGCCTAATTTATGTACAAAAAAATGAACGAAAAACAAATATGTAACACAGCAACAAACGACAACCACTGAATTACAGGCTCCTGACTTGGGACAGGCACATACATACAGAATGTGGTGGGGTTAAACATGTTAGCGGGATCCCAACCCTCCCCCTAACCTGGGACAGTGGTGTAATAGTACAATATAAGAACGAACTATAAAAATCAGTTGAAAAAGGCTTAACTCATCAGATGGATACAAATAGAAATACATCTAACAAAAACACAGAGAGTGGACGTGGCCGGGTTCTTGTACATCCCAACAACAAAAAGACACTAAGTACAGATCTGAGAGTACTCGCAGTTACATGACCAATTGCAATGCCAAGATACAGGTACCGACAGATTGTAGATCCATGAATGTGCATGTATATAACAATAATATTTAGTTTGCTTTTAATTTACTGATAACAAAATCAATATTAATACCAATAAAAACAATATTCAAAGATCTAATTAGAGTGTTGAATTGGTTACCTTTTAGAATAAGTTTATTTAAAGGATCGATAAGTTTACCAGGATCGTTTCTAAATTTCCGGGCACGGTAAACAACATCTCCGTAAAAATGAAGATCTGCTATCTCGTTTGAAATAAGTTTTCTACAGGTACAACCAAGCTTCAAAACCAAATCTTTATATCTATGAAAGAATTTAGTAAAGGTTTTAAGTAATTTGTGGTAAAGAAATCCTTGACTTAATAATTTACCAGTAATACATAGATTACGTTCATTAAAATCCAAAACGTCACAACAGACACGGGCATAGCAAACGAGTTGTGATATATAAACATCGAAAGATGGTGCTAAAGGAACATCACCATCTAAAAAAAGGAAAATTAAACAATAGGGAACGAAAAATCGTCCCTTTTGTCGTAAATTTTAGTGTGGAGTTTCCCGTGTAAATCTGAAATATCTAAATCTAGGAAAGGACAGTTATTACCGTTTACATTTGATTTATTTAAAGTAAGTTCATTTGGGTAAATTTCGGCAGTATATTTCGAAAATTCTTGGTTATTTTACGAAAAAATATCATCAAGATAACGGTAAGTGTTGTTGAACTTATCAATTAAATGCAATTTAGACGGGCCTTTACTGAGTTTGGTCATAAACTGTGATTCATAACAGTACACAAACAAGTCTGCTATTAAAGGGGCGCAATTAGTGCCCATAGGAATACCTACAACCTGTCGATAAACTTTGTTGCCGAAACGTACATAAATATTATCAAGGAGAAAATTAACAGCTTCAATCATCTCATCACATCTCCAGTAAGTACATGTATATCTAGCATATTTACCTTTCTCATTAGAGAAGAAGGCTTTAAATAAGTGGCAGCAAATATATTTGCATTCAGATTTACCAAACGACCATTTAATTAAATAGGAAAACTTTAGTTTGATAAGATTGTGTGGAAGTGTAGTGTAAAGAGTTGAAAAGTCGAAACTGTCAACAGAATCAAAAGGACCATCAAAAGCACGTAATTTATCTAAAACATCCAAAGAATTTTTTACACCGAAAATAGTTAATTCCACTATTTTCATATATTTTATTACAAAAGTTAATGATAAGTTCTTTGATAGTAGTTAATGAACTAGTTAAAAGCACTGAAAGATTAGTTGTAGAACACTTACTACAGGCCGAGATGAAACGATATTTTACTGGTTTTTTGTGTAGTTTAGGTAACCAATACATAGTAAGGACCTTCAAATGTTCAGAAGAGGCCATAAGCTGTGATGTGGTTATGCTATGTTTGTTTACTATATGACTCTCTGTGGAGCGTACGGACTTGAATGTAGATGAATTTAAAATTTCATTCTTAAGAACGTCCGTGTAGTATTTACGGCATACCACCACCACATTGTTGGCTGCTTTGTCGGCCCTTACAAACACAAACCGCTTTGAAAGTTCTTGAAGTAGGCGTATCATGTACTCTTTTATTTATTTCTGAATTATTTTCAAAATCTGATATTCGAATATCCATAACATTCATACATTTATTTAAATAAAAATCAAGAGATTTTTTATCAGATTTTTCCCGTTTACATCAATGTCTCACATAAAGTACTAGTGCCGATTTTGTTTTCAAACATATCAATCGAGTTGTTCGATAGCGTGCCCGGACACACTTGCAGTCGAAATACACCAGATAAAAGCATATTGAAGGCCTTACGGTGACCTATAGTTGTTAATTTCTGTGTAATTTGGTCTGTCTCATTGGCAATCATACCACATCTTCTTTTATTTTTATATAATCTGTATCCTGTTTAACATAGAGTCGCATTTAAAAATAAAAGTTTAAATGAAACAAATTGAAAACATCTACCTTCAATTAATACAATCTGTGATTCTTCCGATGTGTAGTAAAGACTATCATCGTCTTCGGCTGCTGTCTCCTGATTAACAGCTTTACATTGAATAGTTGTTAAATTCCAATCAGATGTGAGAATTTCATCTAGTGTAACTGTTTCCTCATGGCTACATATTTTTGGTTTTTGAGTAACTTGTACATAATCATTACTGATGTTAAGTGTAATGGTGTCACTGACATTTAGTCTTTTGATTAATATTTGAAGCGACCCTGCAGGACTTCCAGTATTCCCTGTGCAGGTGATTGCTATTTTATGATTTTCAACTGTATGAAAAGGTATTTGAAGTGTTGGTTTATCTGGTCTTGCTAAAATGAAAATTTTGATAAGTTTTTTAATTTGTTAATATGCTGCTCTGATAAAGGTTATTAAATTAAACTTAGAAGATAAAACACAATTTATATATCTTAATAAACCAGGTTTAATCCACCGTTTTCTACATAAGAAAATGCCTGTACCAAGTCAGGAATATGACAGTTGTTATCCATTCGTTTGATGTGTTTGGGCTTTTGATTTTGCCATTTGATTAGGGGCTTTCCGTTTTGAATTAACTGGGAGTTCGGTATTTTTTTATTTTACTTTTTGCAGATCAAATCAAATTAATGTCGTTTTAGTTTGCTCGTTTGAACTGTTTTACATTTGTCATTTCGGGGCCTTTCATAGCTTACTATGCGCTATGGTTTTTGCTCATTGTTGACGGCCGTTCGGTGACCTATAGTTCTTAACTTCTTCATCTTGTGGTCTCTGGTGGAGAGTTGTCTCATCTGCATTCATACAACATCTTCTTATTTTTATATTAAATAAAAAAAATATCTACTTTTTTTTCGTATTGCTAAACAAAATGAAACAACATTAAACAAAAAAGGCTCTTACATGTATGTTATCATACAGAGATAATGTGCAATCACAAACCATTTGGTGCGGCATTGATTTGTTTGGTAGTCAAAGGAAGACAAATTGATTAATGTCAGAATAATTTTTTTTTTCTGAATGGTTAAATCAGCAAACACAGAATGTTTCATAACTCCCTAAAATGTTCCTGTTATCTAAGGATACAATATGCATCTTTGTTATCAATAGGGAGCCATAATATAATTTCCTTATTCTATCAAAATTGTGAAGAAAAAATATTTTTGTTTAAACTTTCCTTGCAAGGACATTCTGAGTACCAGTCGGTTCATTTAAATTTTGTGCCTAAAGAGCATTTAATTTTTTCATTTATTTTCTGAAAAAAATGAATAAATCAGCTTTAGAAGTAGAATGTTTACAAGTAATAAAGATTCTTATCGACTTACATGCAGTAACCCTATTGCCAAGTCTGTTTATTTTGAAAATAAAGTTTGTAAAATTTCAAATAAAATTTCAATCAAATATAAATGTCAAAATATATTTCATTACACAAACAATGTTGCATAAGAACATTCATTCAAATAGAATTGAGGATGAAACGGGGAATGTGTAAAAGAGGCAACTACCCAACAAAAGAGCAGATAACAGCCCAAGGCACGAATGTGTTTTCAACGCAGAGAGAAAATCCCACATACGGAGGCGTGCTTCAGCTGGCCCCTAAACAATAATGTATACTTGATCAACGTACTGCCTTCAACAAAGAGCAAAGCCCATACCGCATAGTCAGCTATAAAAGGCCCCAAAATGACAAATGTAGAACAATTCAAACGAGAAAACAAACGGCTTAATTTATGTACAAAAACATGAACGAAAAACAAATATGTAACACAGCAACAAACGACAACCGCTGAATTACAGGCTCCTGACTTGGGACAGGCACATACATACAGAATGTGGCGGGTTTAAACATGTTAGCGGGATCCCAACCCTCCCCCTAACCTGGGACAGTGGTGTAACAGTACAACATAAGAACGAACTATAAAAATCAGTTGAAAAAGGCTTAACTCATCAGATGGATACAAATAGAAATACATCTAACAAAAACACAGAGTGGACGTGGCTGGGTACTTGTACATCCCAACAACAAAAAGACACTAAGTACAGATCTGAGAGTACTCGCAGTTACTGACAGCTAGTTCAAAGCCAATAACAACTAATAAAAAAAATCATGCACCCAAGACAAAATTATCAATCATTACACATCCAACATCCAATGGATTTAGTGTAAAGACGTCACAAACAGTCAGAGAAAAACATGACCTTGTGCAATGCCAAGATACAGTTATCGACAGATTGTAGATCCATGAATGTGCATATGTATATAACAGTAATATTTAGTTTGCTTTTAATTTACTAATAACAAAATCAATATTAATACAAATAAAAACAATATACAAAGATCTAATTACAGTGTTGAATTGGTAACCTTTTAGAATAAGTTTATATAAAGGATCGTGCATGACGTAATAAGCCAAAGTTATTGACATTGCTTAGGAAAAACTATTTATACATGTTATAGGTACAGGATAGCTGTTCCAAATCTTATATTAACCTATCGTTACTTTTCACGCGGTGAATACAACGTTTTATCAAAGAGGATTCCCTACTTTTTTAGCCAATGAAAAATAAATGTATAGTCATATAATAATAATAACTCAATGCCTTATCTACTGCAAAGATAACAAATGTTACGTTCGTATCGTAAAACAATAACTCATTTTTTTTCTTTCTGAAATGTAAAACAGAGCACGATTTTAGCTGCTTTATCTTTGTATCATAAATTTAAATTCAGACATACTTTTAATGGTTAATTGGCCTTGTGCAATAGCTATTTCGCTCCCTAAGTCCACTGCAACCACATAAAGACCGCTATCGATGCATGATGCATTCAGAAGTTCTACTGTTACAATTTTGCTAGATATTCGGACAACAATTTTTCCACTCGTGTCAACCAATTTTACAGTTCTATTGCTAGCTATTTGCGCAATAAGATTTGATTGTTTTGTGGTCTCAAAAGTCACATTTATTGACGAAAACTCTGTTTGATTTAAAACACAAACTATTTGAACTTTTCCTGAATACTGAAATGTAGAATTTCCGTAACACTGGATATCTGTAATAGTAATATATATTATTTTAAAACTTTTTTTTTGTAAATTAAACAATAGTTCTAAAATACTTTCGCTTTTCTTGCACATCTGCATGGATATTTGTTTACTTGCAAAGTCTCTCTAGAAATAAACACTTCTTAATCACCTCTTTATTTTTATTTTATCAAAAGAAACATAGTTGTGTCACTTAACGTTAAATATAACTGCATATATTTTTGGTCCAGTAGTTTGTTATTTGCGATGATGATATTTTTGTCTGTACATTTCACATGCATTCAATTATGTGTGTTTTATTAAAAAATCAAACTTCCGCGTGTAATTTTGACATTTAATGCCAATGTTGTTTTTGGTTTGATTGGTGTTTTTCAATCGCTATCTTCTATATTGTTTTTGTATACTGTTGTTTGTCATTTGGCCATTTTTGCCATGGCTTGTCAGTTTTTCATCGACCTATGAGTTTGAATGTCCCTTTATTATCTTCCGCCTCTCTTTTGATTCCTTTAGATGTTTTGTTTTAACACTTAATATCTTTTTGGAAATCTTCGGCTTCAAGACATCAATGGGATGCCGCTGGACGTTAAGCAACCAACAATCAATCAATCAAGACATCCGATTGCGATATCAAGTGTAACTGTATCTAATCTACGTATTACATTTAACATTACATTTGGAAGATTTAAGATAGCTGTAAACAATCTGGTGTAAAACTACTTTTTAAACCCGTAGCAAAAACATCACCACGATTTGCACATTATCTCAATATACCTATTAGTGCTTTCAGTAATGATTAATTGTAAACCATAAAGGGCTATCATTTTTCTGTTTTGTGGTTTTGGGAGAAAACAATATTGATAAAAAGAAGAAATTTTAACAACGAAAAACTTGTATACTTACGTTGAGAAGTTGCAACAGCTGGTAACATAGGTGCAGGGGTTGTACAGAATCCTGAAAAATAATATGATATGTCATTAATACAATGTAGGAGTCATTAAGTCATATTTTAAATGTTTGTGTTTTTCCTGTGAAGCAATACTTTCAAATGAAAGCATATCTACTAAAAGCTCGAAACAGAACAAGCATTGCACAAAGAAAACGCCAAACTAACGCAGAGTGCATTTCTCTTAAGTGTTCTCCAGGTTTCTGGGTTTTTTTTCGAACAAATGCGCTTTTTCTTTAATTACGTTTTGCAATCAAAAAAAAAAAGAAAAAGAAAAGAAATAGGGCTATATGTAGGTAGGGCTTAATACGATCCTGAAATACGATTTTGTGATATCATATTTCAAAACATTATTTACGGACTCAATAATATTCAATGTAGGATAACCTAGAGTTTTTTCTCGCCTACTTTACATTTCAATCAATCAGTGAAAGCTTCAAAAGTATGACATAACTCAATCTATATATCATTATATATGCATGTTTTTTTCTTCATTTTTTTAATATGCATTATAACCTTATTAGAACTCTTTTAGATATTAGAATTCGAGTCTCTCTGTGTTAAATTGATAACCTTTTAGGATACTGATTGAATAACGTTTTGTAAAGATTTGAGAAGAAAATTTTCTATTTAAATAAATACATTTGTAAGTAACATAAATAAATTTTTGGGAGTTTAAAATAGCACTTACGATATTTGGCGTTGGAAATGCTGGAAGATGAATAACACTTTTAATAACTGTATGTATTTAGAAACGAGAATCATGTTTAACCTTTCTTATTGTATTTTTCAAATATAAACTTAGAGCGGATGGCGGCGGATAAGCCAAATAAAATAATACTATTTTACGAAAGAAAAAAAAAATTAAAGAGATTCGCACCTTACATCTCGGCGTGCTGCTCTCATAAAGGTTTTTTCTTTTTGTTAAATCGTCTTGCGTGTTTGTGAATTTGATAATACATTCAATTGACAGCCAACAAATATGGGATTAGAAAACATAACTTATTAATTATCTTTATCAAAATGGACAGAAAAAGAAAAGTGACTAAAGCAAATAAAAGGGGGATGATTAAGATAATTCGAAATTCAAAGGCATCTTAGAGATGGTAAAATAAAAATAAAAAAAAAAAACGAATTTGTCATACTAGTACCACATATTAAATAGATAAAAATATGTCATAACAGAATGGTATAAAAGGAGATAGTATATGTATGATAAGGCATCTTTTTGGCTCATTCAAAAACAAAATCAAAAGTATTACAAATCTATAAAAAAAACATTCTTCAAGCGTTTACTCGTCATTATTCTGCCATACGTATATATTTATATTTCTGAATAACGTCTGACATTTTGCAGAAGGGCTTCAAACTTCTAAAATTTAGTTCAAATATGCAATACTGTCAGAATAGCTTTATTTTGAGATTTTGTGGTGTATATTTAAATATGAACCAAGACTTTACAAAAATAAAAATTTTGCTACAAACTATATTTAAAAAAATGTGAATATGATATCTTCTCAAATGTATCTTATCAATAAACTAGTGGACGAAATGTTTGGGTTTTTTTTGTCATATATAATTCTTTTTTGTTTTCACATGTCTACCTATGCTGATTTGTGTACTTTAATAGCTCGAAGAAAATTGGTGCATTTTGTTCTATTGTCAGAAACGAAATATTTACTTAGGCCCACGTTAAAACATTCTTTATTAACATATAAGGTACTCATTATGTTGACATAGTACTTATATGCATATCATTGCACATGTTTCTGTGAATATCTAGCTTTCCATTTCTATGATAATCACAGGTCCCATAAACTAACAAAAATGATTACCTGAAGGAACAGTTTCGCTACATACTGCCTGTGAGCAATTTGTCGAACATTCTCCAGTGATGCTATTTCTACACTGTTCAAGTGGACATGCTATTCCAAAAGGATAGACAGTACCATCAATTTCTATACATAACACATAAGCGTAGCAGCTCTGGGGGTGACCTATAGAGTCTAAATGCTTACCACAAGAGCATATATTGCCTGGAATTATAGTTATTCTAACACCTTAAACATTTTGTGTAAATGAACAACTATACCTTTTGCAGAAAGCACTCATATTGACTGCATACGACTTCTTAAAAAACAATACTGCTATCTACTGTAAAGTAATTACAAGAACTAATTTGTTTCATTACACTTTTACTTATGCTGACAATGCACGTTTCTATTTTTTGCAAATGCAATAGCGGTGACATACAAGATAAAAAGACTATAACAACTTTTTATCGGGTAATCAGACAGCCTCATTAAATATAGGACAAATTCGTGTTTTGCGGGTTTGGCATTAAATATTCAAGAGTTACATGTATGCCCCTGAGTTATCTTAAATATAGTATTTCTTTGGTTCACATGTAATTAAAGTCATATTTGACAAAATCTCTTGAAATTTTAACACAATTTCGATGATTATTATATACAGTTCAAATTCAAATTTGAATATTTTAACATTAACTGTTCGTGATGTGTACTGGTCCTTCTTAACTTACATTATGATTTGTTTAGAGTTTCCATAAATTAAGGACAATAATGTTTGAATGATTTTTTTAGAATAAAAAACAATGTTTTGCAACATGAAATAGAGGTCACGTTCAATTTCAATTTTAGTTGCCGTTAAAGAATTATTCTACAAAAATGGTTAAATGTGATCAGTAGCCATATAGATAATATAATTCAATTTTATTGTATAACTCTTGTTCAAATTACGTATAGATCTATGCAAAAAAAAAAGCCTATAAGCCTACAGACCTTTAACTGAATATGTTTTTGTTGTTGTTCAAATGACAGTTTCTGTTCCTCAACGTTTGTATCTGGTATTATGTATGTGTTTTTTTTCACATAATTCCAACTTATGTAATAATGCTGTATTTTGATTGGATGAGAGGAATGGTATTTTTCACTAATTTTCTATTTATTGAGATTCTCTTTTCTCTGCCGGTGTATTTGTCAATAGGGAATTCCATGTCCCGGGGTATTTGCTAGCATACCACGGCAGATGGGAAATACCATGTCTAAAAATAAAGCGACTTCCGAAGACCTCTAGACTTTTCGTTGAGATGGATACAAAGAGCATTCGGTGGAATTAAACAATTATATCATGCTTACAAGGGGTATTTGCCAAAAATACCGGTTGAGAGGTAAACAAACGGCTCTGGAAATTTGTTTACATCTCAACCGGTATTTTTGGTAATTACCCCTTGTAAGCATGATGTATTTGTATAAAATAGCTTGTAATATTTTGAGTGTTTCTTTGCTATCCTGTCAATATTGGACATATTAAAACCTGCATTTTGCACATCTGTATAAGAAAAAAAAGCTATAGTACAAACTTTCTGTTAGTATGAATTAACAGTGATCACCATATGCTTGTTCAACAACTGAACGGATATGATATAACTAATAAACTATCATCGTTGGAATGGTCTATTCCGAAATATCACAACTTTTGAGCAAACATAACTACCTTAAAAAATTAGAAAAACCTGATACGCACTATCACATTTTCATGTTTAATGAACCGTGAAATATTAATCAAAAGTTTCAATCTGTCGTTACCAGAATTTTATTGCATATAACTGTGACCTAGAACTTTAACCTTGTACAAGACATACGAACAGACGGATGTACAGACCACAAAATAAAATGCATATACCCTATATTATCGTAGGTGGGTCATAACAACATAAAATTTAAACAAAAAGATCAGGTTGAGGACAACATCTTACGTGGAATCAATGCCAGATCAATGTCACTTTTAGTTGAATTAGCATCACTCCCATTAACGCTACATCTCACTTTACCACCATTCATTTCAGACGTAAATGAGATACCAAATGTAACTGTTTCACTATTTTGACAATTTCCACTTTCTAGGTGACGAGACTCAATATTTGCTCCTCTAATTTGGAATTCACTTCCGTTTGCATACACCAACTCGATTATCAAATGTTTCGATGGTACACCAACATCGCCAGTACATGTGTGAAGACGATCTTCTCTGTAATATCCCAAATCAATAATTTGATCGATATGAAGTGCAATCAAAGGTTTTCCGGGATTGCCTGTTAGTAACTAAAATAGTTTAGAGTTTTGTTACGTATGGGATGTTACAGAACACTATGTGTCAAAGTTTGCAAATCGCTTTAGCTATTGGAATTATAAAATGAGCTTTAATTCTCTAATGCAATCTTAATTGCAGTTTACAATGTAAGATTTATGCCGTTATATGTTTTACCGTAAGTTGGACTTTTGTTATGTTTCAAATTGTTTTAACCTAATTTGTTTTCAGTCCAATTCATTTTTTATTATATTTGTATGTCCCCGCCATAGGCCATGGGGGAATTAAGTGTTACCCTTGACCGTCTTTCCGTCCAGCTTTTCGTTCGTCTTTCCGTGCGTCCCATTTTTTCGTTTCCACACTCTTACTTAAGTTTACCTCCTCCAAATGTTATGAAACTCATACACAATGCTAGGAACTAAAACTAGCAGTTAGAGTTCGAATTTGGGCATTGAGTCATTTAACGTTCTAGAGTTATGCCCCTTTATAACTTGGAAAATTGCAAAGCTTGAGCGAGGGCATTCATGTCCTCAGACACATTCTTATTTGTTGTTTGTTTGTATGTGCCTGTTTTTTTTTTCTGTTTTTGTTATTTCTAATTCACTGTTTTAGGCATTTGTAGTATGAACAAATGAATTTTCTGTAAGGTAGAAATATTGATAAAAACAACCTAGACAAAAGAGAGGTAGAAGATACCAAAGGGATATACAAACTTGTAAGTCGAAGACAAACTGACAACACCTTGGCAAAAAACAAAAACAACACAAAACCACCAAAAAAAAAATAAAATCTGCAATAAGCAACATAAAAAACAAAAGACAGAGCAACACGAACACAACCGAACATCGAGAGATCTAAGGTGCTCCGGCAAGGTAAGCGGATTCTGCTCCATCTAAGGCATCTGTCGTGTAGCTCATGTACGAACAAATTAAAATGGTCAACAACTCGTGATTGCTTCCGTAATTTTTACGAAATGATGCCTATAACTGCATTACTTCGAATCTTTGATTTAAAAGCTTCATTATTTATAAGTAGCAACTTTATCATGGAAATCAAGCAACTATATAGGTGACCGTATGACCTACAATAACCAAAACCCATTCCGTAGAAAACGTTTTAAAAGACCAGAGCATAACAAAATATGAAACATTTCAAAATACGGAACCAAAGGTCCGTTATTTAAAATCCGAGATGTAACTTCATACACCCCAACGTACTGAGACAATTAGACGGAACATCACCTATATCCATATTTCTAATGCGCAGCATTCATTTTTCCTGAAATAGTATTATACTCTTTTTTTCCGAAATTCGATATAAAATATTTGTACATTTATTATTGTTTTATGTTTTTAAAATGCGTTTTTTCATGTATTTTGGCTCGTCGCGATATAGCCTTTTTTTGTGTTGATGCGGCGTAAAGCAATCACCAATCAATCAATCGTGTAGTTTGTCGAGAGACTGGTCTATAAGAGTTTTTTCAAGCATGGTTCTGAATCCCATATTTGACTTCTATGTAAAATAGTACTATTATGGCATTGTTATAATTATCAATAATAAATATGTTCAAATAAACTCTCAAGTGTATTGTGCAATGTTGATTAGGTTTAACAATTTACAGTTAGATCATCATGGTCTATATACTGCTAATCATGCCGCGGTGGCAAAGTACACACTTATGTAACTTGTACTTACTTGTCACCTGTAGATGCCCTTTAGCGCTTTTAATCTCTTCTAAGTTATTGGAAACATTTCTTACAAGTGCAACGCGGTAAAAACCATTCATTGCACAAGACACATTTTTGAATTTTACCATTAGCTTGAATACCGATGATGTAACTTCAAAAACAATTTCCATATCACTATTGTCAATATAAGTTTCGAATACTGATCCATCTTTATTCATCAACATTTTATACAACGAAGTATTCAAACCACCTTCATGATGAAATACTATATAGTCAAAGTTTTCAAACTTAGGTATAGTACATATCATTGTAAGAGGTCCAGAATAAAGTTTTGCCTCTGAAATATTAGTGCATGATAACTCTGAAACGAAAGTGCAACAATTATAAATTTTTCACTCGATCTGGTTAGTACAACAAGGAATGGAAGTATAAATGTTAAGGGTTTCGTTGTGATGGCAGAACATCACTGTAGCCTAATGAAACATATTTGTATTTAAATTACAACTAAGTCCTTTGCACCGATCCATTTATCATTAGACAATTTCGCAGTTTCTTGAATTGGAACAGGTTCAGATTGCATGGTCGAAATTGGAGTGTTACTACGTTTGAAAATTCGTTTGATTGGATTATTTTCTACTTTTCATGTCTTATTAAAGAATTGGAATCTTATAACATGATAATAAATGTAATGGTTACTGTCGGTTATTTCTTTCTATCAAATTTATTATGTGATGGCAATCAGACATCGTTTTAGCTTACGTTACCCTTGGACTAGCAAAAGCTATTTTAAGGTCAGATACGTCTTAAAACTATTTGCTATACTGAAACCAATCAGCATGCAAAGTGAAGCTATAAAAGTCAGTCAGGCTATGGTCCTTCGGGAAAGTGTCCGGATTTCGAACTTATATCATATCAGTAGGTATTATAGGGGTGGGTAGAGTTGGATAATCGGTTGAAATTACCAACCGATTACCTATTACTATCGGTTGACAGCAACCAACCAACTATCGGTTATAATCGCATCATTATATCTTGTCCTTTTTTAAATGAAATCATGCATTCAGACACATTGAACATGTCTAATGCGTATATTCCATATCATTGCAGAGTTTTATATCTTCATATTGGATCTTTTGTTTCCTTTTCATATTTTATTTAGCCATTAAAACAGTGAATCAATAAGAATCCAGATTCAGATTGAACTTATTTTCAATTGTCTTATAATTACAACATTTACCAAATATGACACTAAAAATTTTAAATTTCAATGGTATCATTCACATTATAATTTCAAATACATAGCTGTATCAAAATTTAAATGCTTCTCAGTAAAAAAAAATATCATAGTATAAAAATGTCCTATATACAAAGCGCAAATGTCCTATAAATTGAAGCGCACATGTCCATTAAAAAAAGCGCAAAGTCCTATGAAAAAGCGCAAACCTTTGATTATACATTATACATTAAACTGTTATGTGTTGATAAAAAAAAACCATGCGTTTCAGCAATAACAACATCTGAGCTGTTTATAAGTAGTATATCGTAGGTTCCTAGTATTTCATCGGAAATATTTCTGAACGTCAAAGTTAGTGTTGTACTTTTATCGAAATAAATGGTGATATCTGGATGACCAAGTACAACATTTATTGATCCATTTCTATATACTACTATAGCAAATAAAGGAGCGCTGATATTTCCTCGTAGGATTCCAATTAGATTGTAGTCGTATGCATTGCCAATGGTGCATGTCATAATTTCTGGCCCCAAATATAGATTTGCTGTAACATTTGTGCAATAAAAGACTGGAAAAAAATTGTCTTCAATAATGACATATAATGTATATAAATTGTAAAATTGAGTGGTTTCTTTGAAGTTTATTTTTACATGTAATAATACGTCTTTATATTTCTTTCATTGATAATGTAAACAAAAAGATAAATAGTCATTCAATATCTCACAATTTAAAAAAAAAAGTACTCGTCGTTGACTCGAACATTTTAACATCTTTTCCTTATTAGCACCACCTAGATTTATCATCAATAAGAACAGAATTGTTTCTTAGTTCAGCATCAATTGTTAAAGGAAGATCATTAATTAATATGTTAAGTAGATGTACCCACACTTCTTACGATGTACGATATTAATTTCCAAGATACATTTAGGAAATATTTTGAAAAACATATCTTAAACTAAGAGGCGCAAGGTTCCAAGGGAACATTCAAAACGGAAAGGCCGATGGGATTCTGACAACGCCATAGCAAAAAAAAAAAAAACCAAAGCCAACAAAAATACAAAAAGTACCCTACATATAAAACAAAACACTTAACAACTGGAACCATACCAAAAACTCGGGATGATCCCAGGTACCCCCGAGTAAAGATTTTTTTATGGGCCATTTAAAGTATGGAAACATCATAGTTTTATCTATATATGATAGTTAATGAGCTGTAACGTTTTAAGAGTTTCAATAATTAAAAATCAATTCCACCGATTTATTTAAGATACCAACAAGCACTGAACTCGATAATTATTTGTTATTTCATAAAATGTTTGGATCATGGCAGGATCGGTTACACATTTCGTCGTGTGAATCTTGTAATGATGTATTTCTCATTTGGTAATAGTGGTAAAAACTTACATAAAATTTTAAAGACGCAATATCATAAATATTTGATTGAGATATAAAGCGTCATATTGGAATCAAATGTACGTACATGAAGAGTAACCCTTTGTTTGATTGTGTTGTTTTAATAGTCAAGCAACTTAGATAAAAAAAATTGCTTAACTCACAGGCACTTTGGTCATTGATTCCTCTTTCTTTTCTTTTTTAATTTTTTTTTGTGCTGAAATTTTTTTTATGAACTTATAATATCTTGAAAATTTCTTATTGTTTTTAGTTAATTTGTTCATGTGTTCTTGTTCCTATTCATACGATCTTACAATGACAGTAAGATCGTATGAGTAGGAGCAAAAACACATCAATTTAACGAAAATAAGCAGAATTAAGAAGATTTTTTTTATCTGAAATAATAATTTAAACACTAGGAAAACAGAAAAAAAGATCCATGCTTAAAACTCATGTGATTTCACTTACGGACAAATATCGCCAGTATAAAGGCGATTTGAATTGACTCCAAGAGAATGCAAGACAACAGATACACCAAGATTCAGACAATATGTTAAAGATAAAATAATTCAGATAGTAATTTTTTGTTCAGAGAATGACCTGTGTGATTCTGCAAAGGAATCTGGAATTATATATATATATATATATATATATATATATATATATATATATATATATATAATA